CAAGCCCCTGTTCGATCACGGACAGATGCTGCAGAGGAGAGGAGGAAGATGGCCCGCTACCAAACTCAGCAACAACAGCTTGCGGCGCAACAAGGCCTACCATATGATGGCTATGAGTCGAATACTCCGTCATCAATGACATATGACATGATTACGCTACCTAGCGGCCGTAAGAGAAAGTTTGTGCCATCCAAGCTTACTTCTGGCGACATCAGGAGGTGCTCTGAACCTTGGGCTCTCAGTGGAATCGCTGCGTGGATTCGCGAAATGGCCGATGGCGAACCTGATTTGAAGCAGAAAACTGTCGAAGAGGCATTGCTCAAGCTGTTCACCGAAAAGGTTCCAACCATCAATGTTGCCGATGCCGAGCTTCTGAGTACTCTCGTCTCGCAACTGATGCTGGACGCTGGGGTTCTTGTCCCGGAGGAGGAGTGGGTCAAGTTTGGAAGCGGTACAATATCCGGAGTCCTTCCTCAATTGACGGGCTATGGCTGCTATGCTCCGAAGTTGCACGATGACGACTCCCAGCCTGGACGCTGCTACTCGCATCATTGTATGAGGACGCTCAGAAAGGCCAACTTGGATGATATGCTCCTCGACGAGGTTAAGCCGGCGGATTGGAATGTTCACTATAAGATTCAAGACGCCGAACTCGCCGAAAAGCCGAAGAAGGAGATTGAGCGTCAGCACGTCCTTCACGAGATCGTCAACAGTGAAGAGTACTTTGTCAACCAGCTCGAGGTTCTGCGCGTATTATATCGAGACCATCTACGGAACTCTCAGCCTCCCATCATTCCACCCAACAAGATTGATAAGTTCCTTCAAGTCGTTTTTGGAAAGGCAGACGCCGTTCAGCTCGTCAACAAGGACAATCTTCTGGCACAGCTCAAGTACCGGCAACAAGAGCAAGGTCCTTGGGTATCCGGATTCTCCGATCTCTTCCGTGAATGGATCCGGAAGGCCAAAGACATCTACATTGACTACGCGTCACAGTTCCCATATGCAGAGTACATGGTGCGGAAAGAGTCTGACCGAAATCTGTTGTTCCGCAATTTCCTGGAGCAGGTCATGCGACACAAGCGCTCCGAACGCTTGGGATGGCAGCATTTCCTCAAGACCCCCATTACACGTTTGCAGAGATACTCTTTGCTGCTGGAAACGGTTGAGAAGAAGACACTTCGGGACGATGAGGAAAAGGCAAACTTGGCCAGGGCGATCGCCGAAATCCGCAATGTCACAATGGAGTGTGACACGAAGGTTGCCGAGATGCAAAAGAAGGTTGAAATGATGGAGCTCAACTCAATGCTCGTCCTCAGGCCCGGCTTCCACTCCGTTCTCAACCTTGACCATCTTGGTAGGGAGCTTATCAAGCAGGGCGATCTGCAAAGAATGGGCTCTAAGGGCGTCAGATGGGTCGACACACATGCCTTGCTATTTGATCACTACTTCATCCTAGCAAAGGTTGTGAGTCCAAAAGACGTCAGAGGCGAGAAGAAATATGACGTGTCAAAGGAGGTAAGTTTTTCGTACCATTGAGGAAACATTGATGCTGACAGTTGTAGCCCATTCCTATGCCTCTACTATTCCTCGACAGCATGAATGATGACCCCATTTCGAAGCAAAAGGGCATTACTGCTCCTCTGGCCCGCGCTGGCGGCGCAGGTTCAGACCCAAGGTTAAATAGGATTGCTACCAACGGCACTGAGCGTCCAGGATTGGAACATGTCGCAACAAGCTCCTCGGTTGGATCGACTTCAGCAGCCAGGCTTACCCCGACAATGTCCAGTGATCCTGAAGGCAAGATCCTCTACCCTTTCAAGATCAAGCACTTGGGCCACGAGACATATACACTGTATGCTACGTCAGCTCAGAGCCGCGCTGAATGGGTCGAGAAGATCATCGAGGCCAAGACACGGCACGCCAAGGCTCTCTTCTCTCAAAATGCCGAGCCATTCCGCCTTCGCGTCCTGGCAGACAGCGCGTTCGTATATGATGCGGCTTCAGCTGTCGGCAGGCAACCAGGCGTTCCCATCCGCGGCACCCCTCTCGACCGAGCTGTTCGGGAGATTGAAGAGGTCTACGGACCAGGCAGAGGGCCAGCCCCCGTGTGCAGAGCCCAGGTCAACTGTGCTTGCGGCTTCAACGCATTTGGCAAATCGATCGTGGCAATCGGAACAGACTATGGCGTGTACATCTCTGATGCCACAAATCCCCGCGGCTGGATGAGAGTAAGTTGAAAAGTCCAACATTGGCATCACTGATCGCTAACAAGCCTACAGAGTGTGCAAACCAATAGGGTGACACAAATAGCTGTCCTTGAGGAGTTTTCCGTCTGTCTCGTTATTGCAGATCGCTCTCTCATCGCTTACCCCCTCGATGTGATTGCGCCAGTATCGAACTTCCCTGCCCCGGCTCACGACAACCCGAGACGCGCGCCACAAAGGTTAGCAAAGGATGTTGCTTTCTTTGCTACAGCGCGCATGAAGGAGCGCATGTTGGTTTTCTTCAAGCGGAAGGAAGGCATGCACAACACCTTCAAGGTACTCGAACCCGTCTTCCAAAAAGCATCAGAAAAGAGACCTCGCATCTTTGGTGGCCGCAAGGGCTTGGGAGGCAGCACCGACTCCTTCCGCGATTATGACGAATTCTACCTCCCGACAGAATGCTACTCCCTCAATCTCTTCCAGAGCTATATCGCCGTATCAACGGCAAAGGGTTTCGAGTTGCTCACCCTCGACAAGAAGCAGACAATGTCTATCCCCGACCTGAAGCAGCCTGCCATTGCGAACATTGCAAGCAGGATACGGGATCAAAGACCTCTAGGCATGTTTAGGTTGAACGATCAAGAGTTCTTGCTGGCGTATGAGGACTGTGCCGTCTACGTAGACAAGCACGGCGACGTGAGTCGCACTTTGATTATGGAGTACTCGGGCAAGCAGAAGAAGGCTACGAGCGCGACAATGTATGGCCAGTACCTTCTCCTCTTCAACGGAGACTATGTGGAGGTTCGCAACGCGGAGAATGGTCGCCTAAGACAGATCATCGCCGGTCGCGATGTTAGGTGCCTTGACTTTGGCGTTCGAGGCCCGACTGGTGGCAATGCCTCTGCATCACAGAACAGTTGGCTAGGCGGACAGACACCCGCAGGGGAGGACTCCAAGGGAACAGTCAAGATCTCAATGAGCCATCCGGAACAACACGGCGTGCAGGTCGTTCTCGAGATGCTTCTCAACAACGGACATATGGAGAAATAGAGCGATATGACGGTTCACATCAGACGACTTGCATTGGGATGCCATGATTGATGAGAGGAATACTTTACGCGTCCCATGATTGGGCTGGCGGTCTATGTCTCCTGGCAAATTTCACACGTTTTGGAAAAAGTAGCTCAGAGAGCCATTTGTTTCCCGACTGCCGAGGACAAATATGGAAATGATACTGTGCGCGGACCGCAAGGCGTTTTGGGTCGACAAGAATCGTGAGATGGTTTTTGCGTGCGTTGGAAAGGGGTGGCGGCGGCGGCGGACAAGGCGGATCATGTGCTTCCCAGGCCACGGCCGGGGATTTTTTTTCTCTTCCTCTTTTCTTGTTTGATGTTCCAGTAGGGAAGCCTCTTTCAACTGATATAGCCTCGGGGTACGTAATCCCCATAGAGGAGGAATATGACGATTTCCACGGTAATTTGCTTGTATCTTATAATGTGGTGATGCCTTGATCTGCCCTTGGAGCTCAAGTGGCCTTGGACGCTAAGCTTGATAATGCAAGTCGGTGAACACAAACGTGGAACTATCCGCCACCAGAGTTGGCCTACCTATCAATGCTCAGAAGGATTTGAACCAACATACAGAAGAACGTTGAGTCGTGGCTCTGAGAGGCAAGTAACGGAGTACTTGCTTTTGCCTTTCTTTTCTATCACCTGCCCTATCACTTACCTTGGCTTAGGTACTTACCTAGACGGGTAGGTGCAAGTACATGGCTGCGCAGCCGCCGGGGATGACTTCTTGGCGGCATCTAGGTACGTCAGTCGTCAGCATAAGCATCGGGCGTCGGGCGTCGCGGGCAGGCAAGGGGAAGATTATTGGGAAGGTGAACCCGTCAATCTGGTGTGTGGGAGGGTCGAACCGATTATTAGAAGCTGGACTGGTACTTTTTGCTACAGGCTTTGCTCTTATGGATGGGTTATGGAATGGCTGGTTTCTTTAGGTGATGAGCACTTACTTACAAGTCTGCACCGCTGCGGTTAAAGGAAAGATGTCATTGAACTAGAGAGTATAATAGGCCTATTGAATATCGTGACTCGATGCGTTTCAAGATATTGTGTCATTTGTGCACCATGCCACCACGGACATTTCTTTCAAAATGAATCCGAGGGGGCAATCAGCTCCTCAAAGAGTCAGGAAAGACACTGAACAGCAGCCTTGGCGTTCAAGTGACGTTCCATCCCCACGCCCGGGTTCCGTGGGGACTTTTGGGCCATTCTGTCAAAAAGTAAGGCTGGTAAGCTCCCGGGGGGGTTCGGCGGGCAGACTAACGACCAAGGGTTCGGATCCTGCTGCAGTGCTATGTACAGCCCGTTGGCGACGTGCATGGTGAACGAGGGTATTGCGATGGGGGCGCGCCCGCCATGCTCGGTGCGGAAGGTCGGGAACACACACGCGCGGGCGAACTTCTAGAACGCGTGAGTTTCTGTCTCCCATGCTGCCCTACGGCGTAGAGGAGGGTGGGAACGTGTATCTCTTAGAAAGTGTGTATATAAAGATGGATGCTCTTGAAATTCGTGCTCGAAGGATGGGACTTGAGTTGTGAGAGTGAAGTAGGAACGAAGTGAGTGAGTGAAGGAAGCACAACTCCCGCTCTTCATCTCTTAGCAGTAGTGAGTTTCTATCTTGGAATCAAAGACTTGGGCGTAACACCCGAGATGTATCTACCAAACTAACACGACTTGAAGATCAAACCTACGATCTCAAGCATACGTACCAACACTCAGCACTCATCCCACAATGCGCACCTCACTCCCCCTAGCCGCAGCAACCCTCGCGGGCCTCGCAACCGCAACACCATACCAATGCCCTCCCTTCGGCGCCGTCCTCCCCGCCGCGAAATCACCCAGCACGCACCCGTCCGTCCGCGCCGCCGTCGCAGCCTTCGTCGCGGCCCTGGAAGCCGAGACGGCGGCCTACAACGCCTCGGCCGTCTCCATCGGCGTCAGCTCTGCTTTCGAGGCGGCGGGAACGGAACCCTTGGTGGACTTCCATTTCACGCCGCGGGACCGCGATGCGCAGGGCGCGCAGGTGGTGGATCGGGATACGGTGTACCGGCTCGCGAGCGTGAGTAAGGTGTTTCCCGTACTGGCGGCGCTGCAGCGGGATGATATGGTGCGGTGGGACGAGAGCGTAGCGACGTACATTCCCGAGTTGGCAGAGGGGACAGAGGGGAGGAGTAAGGTTGAGTATGTGGATTGGCGGGATGTTAGTGTTGAGGCTGCTGCTGTGCATTATGCTGGTGTTGGAGCTGATAGTGAGTCTACTCAGGAGAAGGGGAGAGCTTGTCTCTCTCTGTGTCTCTCTGCTGGCTTTGGGAGGGCTGTGTTGGCTGACTTTGCGTGTAGTGCAGACGGATGGCGCGGCGTATCCTGGTGATTGGGAGTCTCTTGGTTTACCTCCTGTGTCTGACGAGGAGAAGCCAAAGTGCGGAGGGTTCCTGGGCGGCCAGGGTTGCACCAGAGAGGGTAGGTGGCATCCCAACCCTGACGACATTCCCAAGTTTTTTTGGACCCGAGTGTTCCTCAAGAGCCTAACACAACGCACAGAATTTCTAGACGCCATGAAGAACCGCCGACCGCCCGTCTATCCAGCCTTCCAGACGCCCGTCTACTCGAACCTAGGCACGACTCTCGTAGGCATGGCAGTCGAAGGCGCCACGGGAAAACCCTTTGAGGAGGTCCTTTTCGAGTCCATCCTCGAACCGGCGGGCATGGGAAACACTACCTACGGCAAGCTACCCGCGAACCTCGAGACAATGTTCATACCCGCCAACGACACGGAGTGGTTCAACTTCACCCTCGGCGCCCTGGACCCTGCCGGCGGCCTCTTCTCCACCACGGCGGATATGCTCCGCTTCGGCGACGCCGTCCTCCAGAACCGCCTCCTCAGCCCGGCCAAGACGCGGAGGTGGCTCAAGCCGTCCGTCTTCACCTCGGCTCCCGGTCAATTCGTCGGCGCGCCGTGGGAGGGGATCCTCTCGGATAACGTCACGGCGGACGGAAGGCTCGTGGAGATGTATACCAAGGGCGGGGACCTCATGCTCTACCACGCGGGTCTGGCGTTGATCCCGGAGCACGGTATTACCATGTCGATCCTCGTTGCCGGGCCAGAGGTTTCGGCGGCCGCGTTCTCGTACTACACGCTCAAGATGAACGAGTTCCTCCCGCCCTTGCTCCGCGCTCTCGACGAGGCGGCGCGGGATGAGGCCAAGGCGCGGATCGCGGGGACGTATGCGGACGAGGCGAGTAATTCCAGCCTGACGATTTCGTTGGACGGCGGGTGGGGACTGTTGTTGGAGGATTGGTACATGAAGGGGTTCGACGTCGTGCCGAATCTGAGCCGGTACGTGTTCTTGGGTGTGAACCTGACGGATCTGCCGCCCGTCACGACGCGGACGGCGAGGTTGTATCCCACAGGGTTGGAGGAGGGCAATGTCACGGCGTGGAGGGCGTTGTTTGATACGTTTACGGCGGAGCAGCGGGACGCCATTGATGATATGTTCTTCTTTCCCAATGCGTCGTGCGTGTCGTGGTTGTCGATGGATCGGACAACGTATAACTATAAGGGGCTTGATCATTTTGAGTTTACGTATGGGGATGATGGGAGGGTTGAGAGTGTGTTGCCGAAGCCGTTTAAGTTGAGCTTGAAGAGGGTTGACTAGAGGGGTTGAGAATAGTTGTATGTAGATCGTAGTAGTATCAGTTCCATGTACATAGGTTTAACTCATTTCGATGGGCACAGCCGCAGGTGATAGCAGACTACATCCTGAGATATCATGACAGATGTTTGTACTGGTACATACAAGTAAGATCTCTCAAGACGTGAGTACAGCAAAACACTTCCCTTGTAGTATTTATAGGGGCCGGCCGGTTAAAGTGCATTATGGTCAAGGAAATTGTAATAGTGTCAGGCTCTGTATGAACCATGAAGAGGCTCCAAGGCGTCCCGGTATTGTTTTCTGCAGTTTGCCTCTCCTCCTTAGTATAAAACAATAGATTGAGAACCAGGTCCCCACTGACATTGAGTTCGTCTAGAGCCTTTACTCAACTTGGTGGTAAGACGAACTTGTCGTAGACTTTAGCATTCCAGCACGACAACGGTGGCGACCAAAGGTATGAAGCCCACGCTTTGCACATGGCCACTGCTAACTTGATAGCTACAAGACTTCGCATCTGCCTCGATGAGAAGCCAGACATTTTACCTGTAGACAGTTGAGATGTGACTTTACGCCCTAGAGCCTATAAAAAGTCTGCTCTCCATCAAATCATACATGCCAGGAGAAAGACAAATCATATTCGAGGCACGATCAATCGTATCCTTCACTGCAATGAACTTTGGGAACGTGCTACAATGAAGCAGTCATTCAAGAGATTAGTTAAAGTAGTCTTTTCATCATTTAGCACTGCCCTCCTGCCAGTACCTACTCTTTACATATTCCTAGTAATGGGCATTGAATACGTTAGTGATGGTGAAGAGGGATTGGGGACATGGTCAATCATGGGCTTTATGTCTACCTTGACGATGTTGTACTCACCGGGAGTCTCAGATTAGGACGTCACGTTCCCCATGACCAAGTCCTGGCGTCATACCCTGTCCTCTGCTTAGATTCTCGTAACAGGGTGGAAGAATGGAATGTTGTTATACCGTTCGAGGGGTACGGATGCACGTGGGCTGTCTACTAGATGGTGTACTTTGTGATGTAGAGCGCCAGCAGGGAAAAACGAATAGACGACAACATTGCCAACAATACCATATCCAAGCGTGGATGGTGGTGACATGCATTGACAAATGTGGACGGAAACGCGGCACAACCCGCAGACAAAAATTCAAGGGTCCAGCACAGCCTTAGTAAAAGCTTAAGCCGTCATAAGCCCCCTCGATCATTCACCGTCAGTCATCATCAATTGCACAGCAAAACACAACGGTCAATACGGAGTATATGATATTCAGCTCAGCCCCCCTGACGGCAGCCGCGAAAACAAATCACCAATCACAATCTGAATACGAAAGATCGTCCCTGCAGGTCAGAAGCCCTGCCTTGCTTTCCGTGACCCATCCCCCCCAGGCTTCCACTCTAACCTGAGATCACTGTTCAGCTGGGGGTTTCATTGTTCAATATCCCCTCTCTGCATTCGTATTCTTCTATGCAATTATCAGCTTGGCGGCTGGGCAAGGGCTCATTACAGTTTACAGGACAGTGGCAGTCGGACAGGCAGCAGAATAAGAGGTCGATGCTCCCACGGTAATAAGAATGAGACCAGGGTCGGAGAGTCCAAGAGGACCAAGACTCCAGAGTAGGATCAACCGGGGGGGTGTTGTGTTGTTGGTTCTAGGCTCCAGCTCTAGGTTCACACGGCAGCGCTAGGGGACTTTTCTTTCTGATATTCATTTGCCATTTACGGAGTACGTGTAAAACCCCTGACGTCTCTTTATTGAAACTCCATCGGCCCATCGGGATCCCGTTGAAATTGACATACTCCATACCGCGTAATGTACCTAGACGAACGAAAACGCTTGAGGAAGCTAAGCGATAGCGAAGTTTCCTCCCCCACCGGATAGGTAACGGTGGGCCGGCCGTAGCTGATGTCCGAACCCGAAAAAGATGCAGCAATAAATTAACATTGCTCGTGACGGGTACGATTGAACCGGGGTTTTGGGAATGGGTCCAAGGGGTTGGAGAGAGGCGCAAAGGAGGATCTCTCCAGGCTGCACACACATACACACACGAGCAGTGACAGCGCAGCTGAAACCCAAGCACTCAAGCACCAGCATCATCAGAAGCTAAGCCGAGAAGAGTAGAGGGCGCTGCGGCTGTGTGTGTGTCCATGGTGAATCTGTAAGGCTAAAAAATAAGCCTTGGCTCTTCTTTCCCAACCATCCTTTGCTCTTCCCTTTCTCACTTTCTTCTACTTACTTACTCAATCCTCCGTTTTCCAGCACCAAGCGTCTCCAGAAAAGAAAGCAAGCAAGGGAAAGGAACCCAGCGGCCGGAGGGAAACTCACGAAGGGGGAAGCAGCAACATCACAGAAAACCTTCGTCTTCATGAGATTGCAGAAGCAGCAACGTCGGCCAAGTCCAGACGCAACAATGGGCACCGGTCAAGGGAATCGACCTCCTCCCCCGAATCAGCAACAGCAGCGACAGCAGGAGCAACTCCGGGCGCACTCGCCTTACCCACCACAGCAGCGATACTACGCCCAACAACCACAACCGCAGTCGCAGTCGCAGTCGCAGTCGCAACCGCAACCACAATCTCAATATCAGCAGCAGTTCCAACCATACCAACCGCCGCAGCAACAACAACAACAATACTACAACCCTCCCAGACAGCCTCAATACGCTTCTAGGCCTACTTCCCCAAACCCGCCTCAACGCAAGCAGACCCCGCAGCAGCAATATCAGCAGCAGCAACAGTACCCCGCCCAGCAGCAATTCCTCGCCGAGCTAGAAGTCCCATCCTCCGCCCTGAGACCGACCTCACCATCGACGTCATCATCCAACACTACCACATCCGCACCGGCGCCGGGTGCCGGAACAGCCCAATATGGCCCCGTTGCCTACGAGATGCCCGCCGACGACACCGTCACGGCCAAGCCTACAACCCAGATCCAAAGGAAACCTCACAGGATAGCCTCTGCGTCTTCCGTCACCGCACCAACATCATCAACATCGCCGCCTTCAGCATCCCCCACCACGGCCGCAACTACAACCAAACAAGATGATGTAGACCAACCAAAGCAAGAAGAGAAGGTTCAGCCGCCGCCACAGCCACCTCTTATACAGGCAAATCCATGGGGGTTCTTTCTTGAAGATGACCTCCCCTCGCGCAACAGCGACTCTCCTTCGCCGAGCAAGGAGGACGTCCCATCGGTCCCACCCGAGGAACAGAAGCTATCGGTAGAGCCGTTACGCATCGTCAAGAGCGGCTCTACTGAGGACTCTAGCCGCCAGGGGAGCATACTCTTGAACAGTACCGCAGATGATGTGACGCCCAAGCCCTTACAGCTTGCAGCAGTAGCGCCGGCAAGGCGGGATAGCCCTGATACGACTCAACTCAAACCGGCACCACTCAAGCTCGCACGCCCGCAGCCCCCGACTGCAGAACATCGTCCCTCCCGGACCCCGAGCCCGGCCAACCCCGCCGCTCCGGCCGCCAACGTACCGCAGCTCCCGTACCCCGCCGAAGGTCTATCTATTCCCACGCCGGACTCGCACCCTCAGCACCAGCCAGGAACACAAGCAGGGGCTCCAACGACGCTTCCCTTTGGCATTCGTCCTGCCGGCTCCCCGCCGCCGGTATCCCCCTCCTTCGCGCCCTCGCGCCTCTCGCCAGCGCAAACGGGCGCCTCGGCACCACCACAACAGACACAGCAACCTCAACCCCATCACCAACCAACTTACACCCAAGCCGCCCCCGTGTCTCCGGTCTTCGTTCAGGCTGCTCTGCCGCCAACGCTCCCCGTGAGCTCCTACTTCCCCCAGCAACCCTCCTACGCCAAGCAGGAAGCCACCTCACCCAATCTTTCGGTCCACCATAGCCCAGTAGCCTCAACACAGAGACCGTCAACATCACAGGGAATTCCCCAGGCCTCCCAACACTCACCGGCCCAACCATATGCCTCTCCTCCGCCTTCATATACCCAGGCCATGTCTCAAATGCACCTGTCAAACACTTCACCGTCGCCCACACAGACACAATGGCTCCCTCCACCGCCACCTCCCCAAGGCCTGTCACCAAACCCAACCGGCGTGCCACTGCCCCTGAGCCCACCCCCGACGCAGTATCCTTACTCTCCAAATAGTATCGGCCCCCACTCTGCTCCCCTCCAACAGCAGTTCACGGGCTACAACATGCCGCCCCCTATCCCACAGCCGACCTACGTCAACGGAAGCCAACAGTTCCAACCGCAACCGACGCCGACACCGCCGCCCCTCCCGCCTCGCAACTCCCCGCCCATGCCGGGTACGCCGCAGTCGGGCTTTGGCGCCCTCACGCCCTACTCCGGACCTCCTCCCCCGACCCGGCCAAACTACCAAGCCCCGCCGCCGAAATCCGAATCGCGCCTCTTCAGCAGTGCCACGGCACGGAAGCTTCTCACCAAGACGACCGAGCTCGTGGATCAGACCATCACGCCCTACCTTCAGGACAACAAGTACTACCGGCCGCCCTATAACTGGTATCAGAACCAGAACCCTCAGAACCAAAATCAGAATTCCCACAACCAGAATCAGAACTACCAGAACCAAAACCACAACAATCAGTATCCGAACCGGCCGCAGACGGCAACGGGATACCCGGCGCAGCAGCAGCAGCAGCAGCAGTACTACACGCAGCAGCAAAGCTATGCCCCCTCTCAGCGTGTGTAACCTCGCTTCGGGTGCTCTCCGTTAGCTACGAGACTGACAGATGTGTAGCAACATACGCGCATTCTCAATCATCACAACAGAGCCAGGGGGTTACTCGTCCATCTTGAAAGTTCTAAAAGGGGGTTCTTGTGAGAATAAAGTAGCTGAATAGGGCGACGAGTTGCCAAACTTTGCGTACCCCGTGTGAACATATGTGAACATATGCGAACATGGGATATGCGATATCTACTGCCACCGAACTGCCACCGAGCTGCCAGAACAACGACGCTGGTCCCAAGTTCACCGTGATGGAAAATAACAAGCCAACACACAACGTGTCGATGATATAAACACATGTCATAGGCATTTCTGTTCTTTCGAGGGGCGAACAAGCGACGCTTCGCTGAAGACAAGTTGTTCACAGACTCGAGGCAGCGGTAAAGTTGCAGCCGCCGGGTGCTGCTTAGTGTTCAGACACAAACTTTACCCTGGCGGTGCGGGACCGTTGGACCGAGCGAGACGCGCGCTTGTGTGGCGTGACGTCGAAATCACCAGGATAAAGATGTCAGTGAAAGCCACGCACACGACTCAGGATCTGACGCGATAAGTTGCGTCCAAAGCGAACATCGTTTTGGGTTCTGACCTGGCTGTGGGCGGCCGAGGAAGTACAAATATCGATGTACTACTGAACTATTTGCACCTGCTGGGGGTCCATTCAGTGCGACGAAGATAATGACTATCACAAATCTCGCTGCCCATAATCCTACCTGACCTCGGGTGAATCACACTGGATATACACAACCATAAAGTAGCATCTAAAACCATGAGAGGATATTCTTTGGATATATATCTGCAACAGAATAATGTTCTGCTCCACACAATACAATTCCATTCCACCACTATCACTTTTCCATATCGCTAGCTCTCTAAGAGCGAGGTATTCTCTAATGATGTACTTGGTGATCTCATTCGGACAGTAGTAAGGACGGCAGACGATGGGAGACCTATGAGGGAACAGTGATACTCAAGACCCTGGCATGATGTCATCGACAACGACCCCAAGATCATTGCGGAATGACATAACCCCTCTTTATCAGCGATATCATCTTAAACTTTCGTGCCTTACCGTAGAATCGCGCGAGTTCACGCGGCACCCAAAATGCAGGGTCCAGAGGAAAAGGTAGGGTCATCCCAGGTAAAGGCCAAGGCCCTGCGGAATTTATTCGAGAAATTCTTGAAAGCGGCCTCGAAAATGGAAGGCCGACGTTGGAATCGGGGTGGGTACGGTTCTCCCTCTCTATAGGTAAGCAGCCGTGAACGCCGAGCACCCTATGCCAAGGCTATAGTAATCCCTCACCAAGTCGGTGCCCGACGAAAATGAGGGCAAAATGAAAACTCTCTTTTCCCTTCCTGCGCACCGCGTGCCGCAGAGTTCATCTCAAGTTTCGAGGGTACGGATATGATCCGTGTAAGGTGTGGGCTCGACCCGAGTCAGTACCTTGGTAGTCTCCGCCGCTCCGGCAGATGATCTGGCAGATGAACAGCTTCATTTCTTCTGCCGAGGAAGTCATCTGACAAAAGTCACATGTGCGGCAATGGGGGCAAACTGATAAAGTCTGCGTCAAGGAACGAAATAAGCGCTTCGAGATTATCGCTGACTAGCTATGAGTATCCGGCTCTTGAGCAATGTCGGGGTGCCGGCGATAGTAAAAGTAGGCAACCTCGGCCTTGAAAAGGCATACTTAGCCGGCTCAGACCGGGCCAGGACCCCCGGCCGTGCTCACGTTGACCCCATTTTCCCGGTGATCCGGAAGGGTGGGCAAGGGCGTTCATGGCTTTGTGTTGCGGCCCGGAGCTTTTTGGGGGGGGGGGGGGGGAGGATGGTCTGACGGCGTTTCGAGGCCCATACACCGGACATGGGATGTGACTGGACCACGCTGTGGCAGACGCCGGAATTCCATAGGCAAAGCTTCAGGAGGCCGCTTCGGCGCTTGTCTTTGTTCAGAGTGCCGCCGTGAGTGCTTCGCGCGTCAACCGCCGCAGTTCAATACATCTCGGTGATGGGTTGTGTTGACAGCCACCCCATTTTCGCGAATCAATCTTCAGACTGAGCCTGCCGTGCCATGTCGGACAGGAGCTATCCTGTCACCAAGCTCCGTGACATGCAGCCGCCGAGATCTGGTGACCTGGGAGTTCCAGTCGAATGGCTGGAAGGAGGCAAGATCAGGCAACTCGCAGATGCTCGGTGAAAACAGCGCCAAGCGCCTCTCAAAGCCACTTGAACCTAGGGGCGGGCAGACCAGACGATCGAAAGGCGGTGATGTGATGGAGGGCCCATTGATGTCGTCCAAGCTGCAGGTGGATTGGCCGATGCGGGAAACCCGAAAGTGATCGGCACTGGCCAGAAGCTCATCGGCCTTCATTCTTGAAGGGCGTTCTTCCACAGTAAGCTCTCGAATGCTTGGCTCTGCGGGGGTCTTGGAAGCACCGGCAACAGTGTGCTCATGGTTGGTCAAGTAATCCGCAAACACGCAACAGCCTCTTAGCCTCGACAATTGATATTCAAACCGTTTTTTGATCAGACCTTTGTGATTGCAAAAGGCGGTTGACTGGTAACGGGTGCAGATCGATGCCTCAAAGCCATGCTGAACAATGGAAACGACATGCCAAACACTAGTAGGCTCTCTTCCTGCAGAATCCAGTTGTCTTGCCGTTTGGCTGGCGTTGAACTCCGGAATTAGAAGCTCTGCTGACGTTGGAATCCGAATGACAGCTTCTGGGAACAAGTAAAACATTGGTCTTTCGGCCGGGACCAGTCTAGATCTCGTAAGTATGGGCATCTCCGTCGTCCCAACTAGCCAAAGGACAAAGCGAAGGGAACGCCCGTTGGCCTGTGGAGGAACAAGTGACATTCCTGAGCCGACACTACGGAGACGGCGTGAGGGTCCGCCTCCTGTTTCGAGACGTACGTGCGGCCCAATGTATCAAAATGTAGCCAGGGCGCACCATAGCGCCGCTAACGGCGGTGAGCTTCCAGAATTCCATCCACCATTTGCCGCTTCTCGAACGTCTCTAATTTAGGACGTCGATATGCAAGTCACTGGAGCTGCCTTCCGGGGGTTTGAGGCACGCTTACTCAAGACTGACAGTCGAGAAGATATGGGGACCCGGAAGAGGCATTTAATTGCCTTTCCGCGGCCTCCTAAGCCTGTTAATGCCGATGGCGGCAGCATTGCACCTATTCAAGACCAACAAAGTGCTGGTGTTGTTACCGTCCCAAGGCCGTGGCTTAGTTACAAATATCGGTGAATGACAACTGGTCATCAAAGAATCATGCTGGCGGACGACGGCTCTACTCCGTAAACGAGAGCCAAATGGACATGACATCTCTGCCAGCATCCATGATGGGATAAGCCATCCTTAACAGTGTACTCCGTACGTAGCTCCCGACAATTGACAAGCACTCGCGAGGCACCAGTAGCGTCGAGAGGCAGGGAGTGTAGGGTCGGGGATACAGCCCGATTGCTCGGAGAGAGAGCGAACAAGAACTAGGGATCGCTGTCCAAAGGTTGATGCCCAACTCGGACACAGTTGGCTGAATAACGGACGGTTCGGACGTCTGAGTCGCGATCTTCGGCCAAGTTGAGGGCAAAATCCAGGTTTTGGCTGCCACACTGGGCTCCCTGAAAAATCTTGATCAGGTCTGGAAATTCTGTTTTGTTTGCTCAAATTACTCTGCATCTAAGGCCTTTGAAGTTTGACTTGCTCGTTGTTCGGGGCCGACCGAAAGACCTGGAACAAAAAGTGACGTGGGCGACGTCGAATAGCTTCCATGGCGTTTGGCTCCATCCAACGCCACATAGCGCTCCTCTGGCGCACTATACATCTGAGAGGCGGCACCGTCAGAGAGGAGATGCTGCTCACGATGCGATGGGCGGTTGCATTGCAGGCCATTCCTTCTCTTTTGTGCATCGTAGGCGAGTGGGTGGAGGGACCAAGGAAAACTTCCCTTGTTGCCGCTCCTTGCGGGAGATCAATTGCTGTTTTAAGGAGAGAGGGCCAAGGGGCCTTTGGGTATCGGAAGTTGATATCTCGGATGTCAGCAGCGACACCCGAGAGGCTGTTGTTGCATGACGAAGGAGGTGGTACTGTGCTGACTCTGGTACTTATGCCTCTGAGCTGATGATTATGCCCCCCAAAGGTACTTGCTTGCTACTGTGGTATATCCGTAGTCATTTTCACCTTTGCATTGTGATATCGAATTGAGGCTGGAGGGGTTGACCCCCTGTAGGGTACTGAAAATAAGTATCTGGATCTTGCAGCATTGGTATCCTCGACCGTCCGATTTATGACTGGTCTCCTGACCGACAGTCTGGAGTTATTTTTCCTGGTGGGTTCGAGCGTCGTGATCTCGTTGCGGGGAAGAGGACTAAGAGCGGTGAGGCTCTCGCCGGTTGGTGATTAGCGCATCCTACTCTGGCGGGAGCAGTGTCACCTGAGGGATTAGCAGTGGTCGCTGGTAAATGCGGCAATGTTGAACTGCGAGGGGTTGATATTGATCCAAAAGAATTATATGCCGGCTACCGTTGAGATTGGCATGACAAAGGCCTTTGCGTTGCAGATTGGTGAAATTGAGGTTGATGCTGACACGCAAATGGCAAGGCGAGTCAACTCAGTCGAGGAGATATCCGTCAAGGTTTACTTGCAAGGGCGTACGACAGATGTCCCTACTCCATACCTTAGCTCGTTGCGGTCCGTCGTGGGAAGCTGAAAGCATTGCTTCAGGGGGGGAGGTTCCGGCAAGGATCCTGAAGATGTGGTGGTTCGCGCCCTGCGTGTATCCGTAGCCGTAGCCCGGCGACAAATGGGTCTTGGTTGGCTGCAGGTGATTTTTCGTGTCAGTACGGATACGGACACTGATTGCAGTTTGGTATGTTATCTCGAAGAAGGCCACCTGGTTCCATGGTGGGTATCGGGCTGGTTGCGATGACGAAAGGCGTGGCTATCTTGGGAATGCTGAG